CATATTTTGGGTGCCCCGTGGACAAGGAAGGGTGCTGGAACATCGGTCAACTGGAACTTTGTGTGATCGCATTGTCCACCGGTTTATCTGTAGAAGCTTTAATTAGCTACATTTTACACTCATCTACTTGGTGCATACGTGAACCAGCAGAAGAGTCTTTAAAAATCTGCTGCACAGGTCATGATTCCCTCCATAGATTTGCATTGGTCAAACTTAAACGTGTGAATCAAGTAAGCAAATGAACTGCAGGGCACACCTCGAGGCTGACCCGACTGAAACGATCAACACTATCGAGTCACAGCATTGTGTTTGCAGACATAATCAGGGGAAGGTCTGTCATGTTGGCTGGTAGCGGCCATCACTCACGTTGCTCTGTTGGACCCGTGCCAAGGAACCAAGGGCCAAAAGTCTGCCCTCCCTGTGCTCGGCCCACAATGATTCCCCAGCATGCAAAGAAAGGCTGCCGGCTCAGAGAGGGGGACACGGGATTGTGTTTTATTGGTGTTGGATTGCTTAACCGAAAGACACGACTCAGCCTCCTGCATCTCGTGGAGATGTCTTTCCTTTCCACTCAATAATCACCACTGAGGAAGCGTAGTTTAAAATATAACAGGAATGAAGGGACACTGTATCACTGTCTGAAACTATAAATACAACTTTGTCCCACAGACCTTTGAAACAAAAAAGAAGATACTACTTCCTGTTTCTGCATCCCATGTAAAGCCTTCTTAAAACAACAGTGCAAATCAATATAAAACCAATTCTTGCCAGTGAGTCAGTCAACATCTACGCTCTGTGGAGCATGCACCCACTCCACCAAACTTCCCGCTTACACATATTGTGGTGTACAGTGAACGTCACTAAAGAGGAGAAGGGCAGAGCAGGGGATAGGGGTTCGGTTACCTTTATACTTCTCCCTGACGTTCTCATAGGCTTGCACATAGTCCTGTTCCTCTGACAGCCGCTGAGCTGGCTCGGACGTGGGCACAGACATGGCCTGGCTGATGCTGGGCACCTTCCTCTGTCTGAAGACTTTCCACCCTCTGTCCCCACCTGCTTACTCACACACTCACTCACAACTTTCCCTCTGAAACTGTAGGTTTCATTCCGGACCACCACCGCTCCCGTCCTCAGCTTGAAATACCCACACACGCACGCACTTATCAGACCCTCCCCTTAAAGGGACAGACACGGACACACACACACACACACACACACACACCAAAGATAGAAACACCAGTTGAAGCAAACCAGTAGATCCCCCCCACACACACACACACAAACCACCACACGGGCCAACTCCACTCCAGATAGACACACATGGCTACTTCAATGAAAAAAACAAATGACGGAGCTGTTTGGGGTCATTTGAGTTTACGTTTCTGGAGAAACTAGAGCAAGTGGAACCTGTACAATTCAAAGGTTTAAAAACTCCAAGATCATAACCCCTCAAAGTCACCTCATATTCCCTTACATAATGACACATTTTCACGTTTTAATGCCAGATGACCACACCTCTTTATTACAGAACTAAACAATGGGTTCATTGCTGGATCACATCCCTCAAAGACAAACCATGTGTGTGAAGTTTACGACCACAGCGATGGGAGACCAACAATGAGGAAACAAATTCCACTACCTTCAAAAAAAAAGGGGGAAACGCAGTGTGTGTAATTGTCGGTAAGCATCCGTAGAGCTCGAGTACCGTCTCCAAAATCTCCAGTTGGGCAATAATAATGTTGACCTTGACAGTATGCACCATTAAAGTCCCAAATAGTAATGCAGCTACACTCCTAATGGTAAAAGCAACAAACTACTTATTTGCAGCCTGAGCACATGTGTGTGTGTTATCAGTTTCTCATAGAGTTGGGAGCTTTTGTTTACTCGGCTTGGAGAGAGACCGAGGGTTTCATCGGACTGAAACTGCAAAATGGCATAAATACTTTACGGGAAGATTGGGAAAAAAAAATGTCGGAGTCACTTACAGTAAATAATCAAGTGCTGCTTTGCAACTTTGAGTTTCTCAACCAGTAAGTTATGACCTAATCGTGAAGTTCTGATAACTATGTTGTTATTCATCTTAATGAGTTCCAGGAACTCATTTACAATTACGATGGCTGACGAAATGATGATAAATGTTGATTTTGTTCATTATTATCATTACTTATAAGAAATGTTCAGACATTATTGGGGAAAAAAACTGTCAAACTGACTATGTAAAACAGAAGCATTTTATCTGATAAAACAAAGCAAATATGATTTAAAATACCTAAAAATCACAATAGTATGCAGCTCCGTGTGCAGCCATAGGAGTGTAGCTCATATAACACATCACATGGACTCTGTGGCCCTGCTGTGCCACTAACTCATGTTCCCGGCTAAGAGAAAAGACGACAGCAACACGGCACTGAAAGGATGCAACTGTCCCCTCACTATCCATTGACTGCTTTTTGGCACTGCTTTGTGTTTGGACAACTCGCTCGTCAGCCTGAATCCTAATCATAGGTTTAAATCACGCCTGATTTCCCAAAGATTATGATTCACAGAATCCCAATCTGACATAGATTCAAACAACGGATATTTAAGTGACAAGATCAATATTGCTTGGATATGAAAGAAATGCTGTAAATTTGACAAGAATTCATATTTACCCCCAATTGTAGACCCTCAGCCCACACAGCAAAAGCAGAGTAGGTAACAGAAAACAGCTAGTAAAATCACACACGCACGCCCTGATCCTCGCAGTGCTACTGTGCCAAAAATGTTCAATCCGCATGTTTATATTTTTTGAGGGACGTGTTACTAGAGCAGTGTAATGTGTGACAGCATCAAGTCAGAAGGACAGCAACGTGCCCACTGAAATTAATCTGTGATCTGGTCCATGAGAGCATTTATTTTGGCTCATGCTATAGATCTTATTTTTGTTAATTAAAGTTAAAACCAGGGTGGTGCTCAATGGCTTCAACATACAGTAGCACTGACATGATCAGAGACCAACACGTGTCTGCTGGTGGCCAACAGCCCACCATCCCTTATGATATTGTTCTATACTTCTAAGTGCCGGACGTCTGGTGGTGTTTTGTGTGCTTCTTGGAAGTAGGCGACGTTGTGCCAGAAGGCCTCACTTTGCTACACAAACTAATGCTAGTAATGCATTACTTTCTGTACTTATCAAGTAATTTATCTGCAGTTTGAACGTTCTGTCCTCTCACTCTGCTTGACACCTCACAACAATGCAAATGTGTTCTATGAGATGAAAAGAAATGCATGCAAATTTAAAAAATGTGGAATCAAGTATTCCATTAAAGATACTGTGAACAGTGAACACTGCACTTTTTTGGGATGCTGTCCTCTAGTGTCCAGCGTGTAAACTGCAAAAACACCTCTGGCCTGGTCCACGAGCATGAGAACGATCACAGTACTGTGACGCATGCAACTGATACTTTAGAGTAGGTATGCGCTGTCTGCTAACACGCTAGCAGTCCTCATTATTTGAAACAGCTTAGGGCAGAGTTGGGACAAGCCTGGGGAAAATAAAAGTGGTTAGTTAAAAACTCTTACAAACCGCTGAAAAAAGCAGCCATGGGTAAGACTGTAAAATCAACAATGAATCCACACGGTGATATTCTCAAAAAAACTGCAAAAAGCCTCACGTTGAAAGCAGTTGTGAATAATTTATCTTTACGAGCAGACCCAGGATGTTCTACTGACTCCGTTAACAATCTACGCTGTCATCATATTTGGACTTCCTCGTGAAACCTTTTTCCCGTTTGAATTTCTTTTTTTATATTGAGAATTAATTAAAAAACCTTTTTCGGGACTTGTGTGTTTGTATCAGACACACAGAATCTCATCATAGACCGTAAGAGCACTGGTAACAGCACAACGACCGGCGGAGACAGATTGTTGTTGCGTTTCTGCATTGTCGGCTAGCATCCTAATATTGATGTTCATTGGCTCTCAAAATAAATATATAGTAGCCCGAACAGATGATAAACAACAAAGGGAACTGTGGTTAGAGCGGTGACATGTTGTTGACAAGCTACTGTTGATTGTTGCTATTGATTGAAAAAAACACTAAGGAGAACCTAAACACTATAGGAATCCTAAGAGGTATAATTTATACATTTTAGACTAATCTAAAAGTTACAATGACAAAACAGGATTGAAAAGAAAAGGTCCTTTTCTGTTCCCTCCCCATCCTGTCCTACAGCCTTGTATTGTCCTCTATGTGGTAAACATCCTTCAGCGATGATCCTGGATGAAATGTAGGACAATTCACTGATACTGCAATAACACTGCACTCCTCTTCCACGCTGTGGGAGCGGGGATGACACTGCACGGTGCATCTCTGGCTGAGATATGAGCCAAATAATCCCCCATTCACAGCAGTGTTTTGCTTTACTTCCTACCTCTCCAAAACCTCCAAAATGTACCCTCAACCTCATTTTTAACCCAGCTATCACCATTACACAGCCACGTTACCAGTCTCACTGACGACTCTTTTAGTATCACAGTCAAAATCCAGAAATAAATCGACCAGCTAAAATACACTCCCTCAGATGCTAATGTGTGTGCAGAGACAATAGCAGGCAGTCACACAACACCGATGCAATATCCCATCCCACAAAATCAATACCAGGAAGACAAGCAGGGAAAGGGGGAGGTCGGTGTTTGTGGTCCTAAGAGACAGTATGGACTCAACACCCACCAAAGGAAGTGCTGAGGCAGCGAGCCACGTGTTCAGACCGATAAGCTGCAGAACCTCCCTAGCAAGTTGACCCCTAGTGAATTCAGATGGATGGATCTAAGCCGAGCAGTCAACCTAATAGGCAGGTGCAGCGTGATAAACATCCTCAGTAAATCACTACAAGTTTAAAGTTGCTAGTGAGCGTGTGAGTGGCTGTGGTGCACACTAGATGTACCACAGTTATGTAATGAAGAACAGTCAACAAGTCAAGTACTTTTTAGTGGATACATTCGTCTAAAGGGCAGCTTACCTGCGATGCGGATGACGGCCCTCTCCGCGGGTTCCAGCACATCTCCAGAGGCCGACTTGGAGCGCTTCATGCGGTGGTGTTTGGGCAGGTTCCAGGGCAGCGTGTCCCCGGGAGATGGAGAGTGACCCAATGAGCTCAGGTCGCTGGAGCTCTCCTCCGACGCGGCCCTAACCAGAGGCCTCCTCTTGGGCTTCTCCTTCCCCTCCTCCATAGTCTGGATGGACAGAGCGAGGAGAAAAGGATAATCATGGCGTCAAGGAAGAAAACACTTCTCAAGACAGGAGGGTCTCTGTAATTCCTGTTATCTCTTCTGTGTTGTTGTGAGGCAGGTTTACTTCTCTAGAAATCAGGTCAGTCCAAATATCAAAACAATATCAAACTCTTAAACTAACGTTAAATGTATTGTCACATTCAGATTAAACAAATTATGTGGTAAACTAAGACTAAGGGTGAACAAACAAGTTAACTACGAAGGGTAAACATGACAAACTGGTGTTTCTGAGTCCTTTGCTTTATTGGACCATCTGACAGAGCTAAATATTCGTAAACATATTTGGCGTTAGCTTAGCCAACATGCTAACGCTAGGTCGAGTGCAGCTGTTTGACAGGTTACTTAAAACGACACGAGTAACTTTTAGTAGTCGTTGTTTTTCAGACGTGTTTATATCTTCTCGTAAGCGTTTAGAAGGAATAAATAGTGGGACCACGAAATGCTGCCCCCGCGTTTGCTAATGTTAGCTAACTTAACGTAACTAATGTTAGTTATCTTAGCTAACTTAACTTTACCTTCTTCCTGCGTGTCTTTCTTTGACACCGTATATCTTGGCCACCTGACAAACATTTTTTTAAAGTACATTTTGCGTCTGAGACTTTGGACCCGGTGGAGTTTATTAATAAATGTCCTCTGTAGAAGCAATGAGGAGGTTAAAATGAACCCGAAGGAGGTTTCGTGGTGACCAATTAGCTCACAAACACCTGGTAACGGAATGAGCTGCTAGCAGGCTAAAAACAACCCATAATGCAACGCTCGAAACGTCTAATTGATGAAATAGGAGATCATTCTGAATGTAAACTAATTCAGCTACACATGTAAAATAGTGAAATTGGATCCAGCGCTGTGCGAAAATTAGTCTTTACAGCTTTACAGAATTATGGCCACACACCACACAAAATATCACATATATATTTGGATAATCTATATTGTGATTAAGTGCATAGGACATAAACTCGGTGTTGCGCGGAGCTGTTACAGCTGTTACAGCAGCAAAACAGATGCTGCAGATGCGGATGCTCTGTACACACGTCACCGCGCTCCCAGCATCCTTTCAGCTGAGTCACCATCCGGGGCTCAGGACGCTGCTCGCGGCCGCAGACTGCACCGCCGCGGCCTCTCTGATTGGACGGGAGACAGGACCCGAGTCCCGTGGTGTAGTTTCTGCGGTGCAACACACTTCAGGGTCACATTCTGGCTTTAGATATAGATGCTATTTTTGAACCGCTAAAACTATTAATTCCCTCAAGCTGTACTGCATCTGTATCCGATTCAGGTATGCCTCAACAAAAGAGCGCCTTTAAGAATGAAGGAACATCGATATCATGACATTGAAAAATGATTGCTCGACCTGTGGGGGAGGTTTAGTTTTTTTCAGGAAAAGGTGCGATCCGCGTATTACGTCATACAGCCTGACTGACTGAAGAGCAGCAACGCTTTCTACCTCCCTGTGCCTGTTCATTGATGCGAATGGTCCCCTGGGCAACTTGCCAGGGTTCGACTAGTAGGCCGACAGTAGTTGGTGTTTGGGCCACGTGAGAAATATACGATACTCTAAAAGAAAATGCAGACTATGTTGCCTCAGAGGCGAGGCACATACATTCAGGGAGCAAAGATACATATCCATAGCTCTCATGCACAACGAGAGAGTATTAAACGGCTGACTTGACTTACTAACACCTCGAGTGATCGCTTTACTCCTCCTGCACCTATGCACCTATCCGGGCTGCCATTGGCCCTCACCCGAGCGAGATGGAGAGGACCGGGTTGCTGCGCTGTTACCAGGCAACCCCGCGGAGCCGTGAGGGGGATGCTGCTCGAACTCTCCAGACTTCGAAATGGAACAAAGTTAAGTGGTGTGTGAGGCTCTGACATGATATGTCTCCCATTATTGTTGAATCCTTTCCAAAGAAGACTTGTGCACCCCCCCCCCCCCAAAAAAACACCCGGGTGGGTGCGATGGTTGTGTAAATTGTGTCTGCAATGTCTGAGCTGCGCGTCGTCGCCACCACACCTGAAATTCGTGTCGCTGAGCTGCGGCGAGGAGAGACCCGAGAGGTGAATGCAAAAAAAAATAATAATACAGTGGTCGCAGGTCGGATTATTTTATGTGCCGCTTTTTTTTAAATGACACTCAAATCATATGATTTCCAGCGTGGGCGATGCGGCAAAACATGAATGATGAATATGAATCCCTGCTTTACTCACGCTAATAATATCCAGGGTGACGCACAGTATTCGATCCCAGATGAATGGAAAAACAAATATGTCAGTGCAGTGGCGGTGACCGGTCCCAGTTCGATCCGCTCAAACTTAGAGGAGCATCCTCCTCACCGCCGCAGCGGGAGGCGCGCCTGCGTCCTGCGGCGTCCCGGGCCGTGCGGGACGTTCAGCCGATCCGACCTGCACCAATCCGGGGCCGACAAGGGGGGGGGGGGATTGTCGCTGAACAGCCACGACGGGCACGCGGGGGACGAGAGGAGAGATCCGATCGCACGCTCGGCGCGCACACGCGAGGGACTGAGCGCGGATCGGGTTGACTGCGGCGGGCGGAGGCTGAGGCTTCCTCACACGTCGCACCGGGATGATCTCACTTTGAGTTGATGGGGGAATATAAATCGCGAAATCCATTTTTTTTGTTTCCCATTCTGCTCTTATGTGAAGGAATCAACCGTACATCCGTTATAATGACATAGAATAGTATTTCCTTGAACTAGAGAGGGAGGGAACGTGCTGCTGAGCTCAGCATCTTTCCTGTGTGTGGAAACAGATGCTGCTGTGATAGTAAACACACTGTGATCATATTGATTCCTACGAATATGTTGTTGTGGTTGTGTTTTTCTCAAAATTGTCCAAATAAAGTATACGTGCACATTTGAAAAACATATTTTAGGGTTAAATGAAACAAAGACTATCGACAGATTTGTTTTATTTCACGTTTCCATATCAACCAAGTGTACTTTTAAATTTAAAAAAGGCTTGAAATGTGCATATAAACTCCGAAGCTGCACTATAATTGGAACTTATATATTCTTTCCTCAAGTTAAAATATATATTTTGATGTACAAAAGTAATATTTTCCCAAATTTGACACACCACATTCTTATTCAGTAAATATATGACGACTGAATTATAGCTAGCAATCCAGTCCATCCCATTCACTGTGTGTTATAGTGCCTACCAACTGAACTTTAATTTTATAAAAATGTAAACGACCAACAATCAGTAAATCTGTTCCGTCTCCTTTGTTTGGGCTCTTGGGTCATCCTGCTCCAAACGGGGCCGAGCTGTAACCAGCCAAAGTAAAAGGAGTCATGCTGGGCCATTATGTAATCACCACGACGTGAATGATGCGTTGCTTGTTTGTCCATTGTCAGTTCTAGTCGAGGGAATCAAAGTGAACGGAGGAGTCGTGTATTCAGAAACAACGCGTCATCAGGTCTGAACGTCAGTGCTTCATGAAGCCAGAGAGGAAGGGAAGGTGCAGGATGATCACCCAGGGATATTATTTATTTTGCGTAATTCCTTTTGTATCTCCCCATGTTTATTCATGTACTTATTTATTTATCAAAATATTCCATACTGCTCCTAAACGTGTAAGTGTCCATGGACACATTTACATGATGCCTGAGATTAGTTCAAAAAAAAAAAATAACCACAACTAACTGCACAAAAACATGATCAGCTTATATCGAGCTTGGTAAAAGAACACATCACTCAATCAAGTCACATTACAATGCACTTATTTGGAGGAAAAGAACACATCTAAGTATATATTCTGTAACCGGTGGACAAATCTTTACTATTGATCCATTGCCTAATTTGCAAGACACTCCAATATTTGGCAGAAGGAGCTGTCCTCTGTTGCTTTGAGGTATTCACATATACCAAAGCAAACTTATCCCGGTCAAGTACAAATGTTAAAATCAATGTGCATTCCTTATTTCTGCACATCAGAACCATGACTTAACAAATGTAAACTTTTAAGAGGTCCACAAAGAGAATAAATTAATATTAACTAAGGAAACAAGGCCTTTGGTGACTCACAGCAGAGAAACGTTCCTCACCTTCTGCGATCTTACTGCCGTCACCGTTTCCACGGCGACTCTCTGAGGTCGTCTCTTCCTCTTCCTGACTGCCGGACACGGTGTGTCCTGTGCCACCGGCTGCTTCACCACAGCTTCCCCGGACTGGACACAAGCAGCTGGCTTCTCTTTGGGCTTTTTCTTCCTCTGGAACCACAACAATAAATGTTTAAGATTAATTAAATCACAGCAGAGTTAGTCCCAGCTGCCTCTCTGACATACAGATTTTTATGTTTCACTTTCCAGTTTTTAGTTTCACATACACTGTACACGTTATTTTTATTTTTTTCTTTGCTTTGAGGAAGATTCACCAATGAAAAAGCACCTCCAGATATGTGAAGTGCACAGACTGAGCCTGATAAAAAAGTCTCCGTAATCACAGGCCGTTGATTGTGATACAAATGAGTTTTGTTCTTTCTGCTCAAATTGCAGATGGAACTTTTTAATTTCTGTTACTGTCTCACTTGACATAATCATTATAGTATATCTGCTGTAAAGCTTACACATTAGACAGACTATTGTGTGTCAAAATACAGCATTTCTTACACAGTGGTGCCATGTAACCAACTTTTTCTAAAGTAACATTTTCCAGTTTACCAGTTCCAGAACTTAAGTTGAATTATGTACAATTCTTACTTAACTTGCTTTTACTTAAGAGAAAGTTCTCTACTTCATTTATTTATAAAACGAATTGCTTTGAACTCTCTCGCCACAGCACCTTTCGTTTTCCGCAAATTATAACCAAAGGAATGCCGGAGTGACAAAAAAGCATTCATGCGGCTGTTGAAAGAGACATACGATCATAATGACATGTCTCACAGTGAGACTTGAAGTGCGTGCGTGCTCATACAGGATTTATTGCCACAATGAGAGCAATGTGTTCTCCACTGTCGTATACTTTGAAATCTGGGTACAACGTATTTTTGTCTGGAGGCATTTGTCTTCTGTGCGATTTGAAACTGACAGACTAATAGCTCACTTCGGCTGACTGAGACCTCACATGTCTCTTTGTCCACTCGCTGGAGGAAATGGACCTCTGTTTGGCGCGTCGGTGCCAAGCGGACAAAGGGCCTCACTCACAGAGCCAATTTCAGAGAGCCCCTCAAACTAATCGCACACAATGGCAGCACAGTGCTTCTCCACTGGGTGACAACACTCATTATGACGGTGCCAAGACACACGGAGCCGGGCCAGGACCCCTCTGTGGGACACGGGCCCACTTGAGAGATACTCGGGAGTCGAGATAGAGCCTAAGAGAGTTCATAGGACAGCATATCCATATGGATCATATGGGAATGGTATGATCAACGGGATGTGACAACAGGGGGCAGAAGCTGGGGAGGGCGTTGAGTGTATATTGTGAGAAAAATTGTGGTCCTTTTGAGCGTCGTCAGAAGCCAGTTCCTCCTTTTATTTATAAAAGAAACAGTGTGACTCATGCTGGGAACATTAAAGGCATCACAACATGAAATGCAAAAGTAGGACACGGTGCAGGTTGAATTTCCCAGAAGTGCTTTTAGCTGACCAGCCATGACCTGATTTTCACTCTCGCACCGCCATGTGGTCGATGTTTGTGATTTATGTTATTGTTGGATATTTGTGTTTCCATCAGGACAAACTTTTTGAGCATTCCTTCATTTGGTATGGTTTTTTTTACATTTAAACACTTTTGACTCCGAAGTCGAAGATCCACACAGCGGTACGAGGCCAATGAGCAAATGTTAGCAACATCGCCATGCGAGGGTTACCATCGGCAACAGGTTAGCACTCAGCTCATTACACTGTACAACCGTATTTAAAACTCATTACGATTTACATCTCTTTGTGTCTTGAACAAATAGTTTAGCACATTTTGAACAGTTGACAAAGACGTGTTGCCAGTTTTTACACATTTAAAAGGCGCAGTGGATTTGGCGCCATCTGGCAGCGAGGTTGCAGACTGCTACTCGTTGAAACTTCTCTCATGTGAGTGGTCACAGTTGTGAATGAACCCTAAATAAATAATAGCTATGAATATGAGATCCCCCTCAATTATACACACTGTTCCCTTAAATGCGGTTGACCTGTTTTAAAGAACCCATTCCAAGCATTTTGTGAATTCCAAAAGCATCAACTGATGGGACTGTTTGTGCCTGAAGCCTGCAGGCAGGTTCATAGCAAACTGAATAATGTTGCATCTGTTTTCAAAGCAACACCAATCTAGTTCAACTCCACCTCTCGAAAAGGTCTCAAATTCACATATGATTAAAGCGTCATATTGCATTCCCACATTTGCAAAAACATACAATAATGTGACACCATTGAAATAGAATGATTAAGCAGGAGGAATAATGAAGCTTGCAGGTCTCGTGTGTTCCCTTAAACTGCAGGTGAACGAGGACTTCTGGGGTCCAAAGTGGGCGTTACAAGCTGCTGATGGATGAGAGGATGAGCGCAGGCTGTACTTAACAGGACTTGAAAGTTGTCATACAGGAATGTGGGGCATGAGGTGCTAACACCTTGAGTGCAAGCGAGGGAGCTCTTTAAAACAGTTGTTCTCATGGGAATTTCTCACCTGGGCCGGCGCTTTAGATTTGGAATGCTTTGCCATCACTGTATGAAAAAAAACACAGTTTGTTACTTTTGATAGTATTGGTATTGGGGAAAAGTGTGATGTGGAATAAAGGGCGTTGCTTTAAAAATGTGTGTAGTGCAGTAGAGGTGACAGAATCAAATATCCACGTTTCCTGCCGGGACCCTGCAATGACACCATGTCACTTCGTCATGGAGCACACGTGACGTAACATGAGGCTCACATTCTGAAGTTCTGTGTACAGCGTGTAATTTCCAGCTCCTGCAGAAACTATGCATGAGATGGCCTAAAAATAAAGATGTTTTATTGCACTGAACAGTATGAAAGACCCTTTGTGTTCTCTCACATGGGTAAAGGAACATTCAAGCTTCAGAACGAATGCAGAGCCAACGCAAGCTGGGAAAAATATATATGGAAAATGTGCACTCTGCAGGTTTGGAAAGGAAACACAAGCAATTTACAATTACCGGACTTGTGGAATACAGAGAGAGAGAGAGAGAGAGTTTCTTCTTGTGAAACAGAGTCTGAGCTGAAGGTAAAACGCTCAGAGAGGTTTGAGGCGGTGGGGGAGGGGTAAGGAGGGGCGTGGGGGGGGACCTACCTGCCAGGTACCGCTCCAGGGAGGGCGAGGATGTCTGGTTCCAACTGTAGCAGCAGAAGAAGAAGAGCCAGACCAGAAGGGTGGCCAGCACCAGAACCAGCACCCAGAGGAGCCGGGCCACCGCCGGGTTGGTGACGGCCCAGGCTGTCAGGACGTCCATGGCGGAGGCTGTGCTCTCCTTCCGATTCACAGAGCGGCGACTGGTGAAGGGCAGCAGGAAGCAGCAGCAGCAGCAGCCAGAGCAACGGGAACCACAGATGGAAACCAGCTGTTCCAAAACGGAGACCGACCTCAAGCCCACGTCAGCGCTGGAGGGTTGTGTGCGGTAGCTGGTGTTTGTGTGTGTGTGTGTGTGTGTGTGTGCGCGCGCCTGTTGTGTTAAAACTTGAGTCCTGTAAAAGTGTGTGCGGATCCTTGAGGAGTAGCAAGGGGTTAACAGCAGCAGGCTTAACTGTCAGCCACTCCTGCCCCCCCCCCCGGCTCAACATCAGAGGCCTTTATGCCGGAGGGAGACTCACCCTCACTCACTCACTTTACCTGAACAATTGCCAAAAAAGTGTCCTGTGATGACAGAGGTGCATATTGTCTCCCGAACACAAAGAGTGCAGACTTTAATTTAGCTGAACTAATTATAACTTAGTTTTACAGGCTGCATTCTCTGATCTCAGATACCTTTCTCACAAGCTCACAAGGTGTGTAATGAAAAGGTAAAACTTTTTGTGCTGTTCCCCTTTTAATAATATCTACTTATCTTATTGTGCGTTTGTGCGATGTATGATCTTTGATAATTTTTCCTGTGAGGCCCGTTCGTTGTTGCACAGAATGTTCTCTATAAACATACCGAACCTGTTCCAAACGCCCAACAGCGTGTTCGAGTACATGGACACAAATATTTACACTGCAACATCATTCAATATTTTGAGATAAGGTGGGGCTGAGCATTTGATGGACGACCAGAAACAACTGATTATAACTGACAACACGCCTAAAAAAATCAAGTTGGGGATCGATGCTTGATTCGTCGTTCCAATTTGATCTCCATGCAAACAGCATGTTTTTCTTCAACAAATCAACAAATGATTACAGCCTCACGTGGGATGATCAGAGAGAGCCAAAGCCTTTCAAACCGTCTGAGCCTGAAATCCGAAATGCCTTTAACTCTGTGCAAACGACAGGAGACTAAAATGAACCAAGGGCGCCATCCAGTGGTCGAATATGAAGAAAGGAAGGGAAAAAAATCCCTCCAAAGAGGCACCAAAATGCTAACAGCCGGAATGATGGATAACCCAAAGTTTGGTTGAATCGTTTAGAAAGCAACACTTAAAGTTGAGAGTGTCCAGTCAATCAATACTAATAATATATAAATAATATATTATTCTGCAGAAGACAAGCTGTGTTAAATAACAATAGTTGCTAATATGATAAAAAAAAAACATTCAATAACAAACAATAATAATATCCAGTAATGCCATCTGCATCTAATTGAAGCCATTTGAATAGAGGTTAGAGCCTTTTGGTGTCAAAATGAAATACCGTTTAAATGCAGTATTATGTAAATGAAGGTCCATTTACTGTCCAATAAACGATAAAGAAAGGTGTGCTTTAGGGCGGGGCTACGTTGTGATTGACAGGTTTCTACGACCTGTTCACAGTGGGGGTTTAGCTTCAAAAAAGTTTATTAAGGCTAAATGCGGTTGCCTGCAGACGTCTTATTTAGCTTTCGGCTGCTACTAACACCTGGTTAAAAAGACTGTGATAACCCAAGAGACTAAGCTCGAGACTTCAGAACGGATGACATCACGGTGACTCTGCCCCCTTTTCCCATCCAGCCTCTGTTCACATCCATACACCACATCCAGTGCTCTGTCTACCTCGTCCCTGTTGCTATGCCGCTCTCTCCTCCATGTTCATTGCTAACACATGGCTGCAAACACATTTATAATGCTTATTAGAATAGTCTCTTTCCATAACTATTTCAAAACCCTAATCCCATTCATGCTCGGCTCAGGATTTCAAGCCCCTCTGACTGGAGGTGGGTCAGTGAATGCCTCATCAGTTTGGAGTCAATCTTTGCGTCGAGTGTGGCTTTATGGATGAGGTTGACGATCCAGCTCTCCGCCTCCCCTGGAGTCATGTTGAGCTCGTCTGCAGCACGCAGGAGGAGAGGGAGGAGAGGGAGGGGCATTTCAGTCAAGTAAATATCCTTTGAGGTAATCCAAACTCTAACAATTTACGGAAGAATATACTTTGAGAACCTAGCAGGACATGGAGGACATCTAGGAGCACTGAGAGTATTCATTGTCCCCGATTGATGTAAAGGAACTGTGCTTTCACAATTAAAAAAGCAACACACTCAGTACACCGTTGACGCAGGCCCACCTGGTGCTGATACTGATACACTGCCGAATCCGCCAAGAGGTCTCAAAGACAAAGAGACGGGCATTCTCGATGAAATCCCAGAGGCAAGCGACGAGTCGACCAGTCGATCACTTTATACGACAAAGCTGTCACATAAAATGTAGGATGTAGAAGGAAGAAACCCTGGAAAGGACACAGTGTTCCTGGAGTCATTAGTTCTAGTTCTCTGCCGGCTCATTTTCCACTTCATGCATATATGCAGTTATCTTCAAAAGGTATGTGCGTGCAGCTATAATTTAAACCCTATCCAGCTATACTGCGAAGATAAGTATACAGGAGGACAGAATAGCGCTGCACGAAAACCACATATGATGCTGTGGAAACTGCCTGTTTCTATGCATTGATTTATCCACCCAAACAAGTGTCCTGGTCAAAACTATGTGGTTTGGATGATTGGGATTTTCGTGTCCAAACTACCAATCCTAAAAAATGACGTAAACTATAGCAAGCTAATTCTCCTCGTTTAAATGCACAGTTATGCATGAAGTGCTTGCAAAAGCTCCTCAGGTTACCTGCTGCACAGCAGCTTCCTGCGTTGTTGAGTGCAAAGCTTAAACCGTGTGCTGCTGAGAACGAAGCTTTTATTCTCATTTATTCCTTTTTTGGGGGGGTAAGTGCAGGGAGTATTACCGCTCCAGTAATTTAATATGAACTACTACCACGCAAGAAAACGCGCAAGGTTGTTCTCTACAAACAAAAGACAAGACAGACGGCGAAGAAGCACAAACCAACCCCGTCCACACCGAGGAGGAATCGTAATTGACACGAGCGTGTGGCGGAGCCAAATGCAGCACAACGGCACGGAGTGTTCGGTTAACGCTTTATTTGAACACGGCCTCACAGCAGGCGTTCGGGCACAAAGAGATCGCTGGGCCGGTCGGGGATCCGGAGCACAAGGGCAGAAGCGCCGGGCAGTCCAAGGGGCAGGCAACAGAAACCCGAGGCGCTCAGGCAGGACTCGTGGTCGGGGACAGAAGGCTGACGTGCTCACCGGGGCGGAGACAGACGAACGGGTCGGGAACAGGCAGGGTCGAAACCGGGAGATCAGTCCGAGGTAGAGTGCTGGAGAGACTTGCATGACGCGAAGAACAATCTGGCAATGACAGGCTGGGTGTGCAGTGCTTATGTAGCGGGGCTGATTGTGAATGCGAAGCAGGTGTGGAAGGCAGGAGAGTGACTGATTGTGGATGCGGGGCAGGTGTGGAAGATCAAGCTGGCAGGTGAGTGTGACAGAACCCCCTCCTCAAGGGGCGTCTCCTGACGTCCCCAAACGCTGTCACCGAGGGAGGGAGGGGCGGGTTCTGGAGGAATCTCCTCAATACTCCTCAGACTCGGCCCGGTCTGAATTGTGAGCCGGGTGGACGGGGATCTGGGGGAAGGGTGCGTCGTTCTCCTCTGCGGACTCCTCCGATGACGAGAAGGAGTCCTCCGTCTCGTCAGGGCCGGCAGTGGATGTAGCAGTGCGGGTATTGGGACGGGGCCTCTTGGCTGCCGGGCGGGTCCTGGAGGGCTGGTCCGGGTGTTGCTGGTGGAAGCTGGTGATAAGTCGTGGGTCGACAATAAAACCGGCAGGGACCCAGGATCTTGTCTCCGGACCATAGCCCTCCCAGTCGACCAGGTACTGGATGCCCCTCCCCCGGCGGCGGGAGCGGATGAGGCGTCGGACAGAATAGACAGGGCCTCCATCCACAATGCGGGGAGGTGGGGGGGCCGGGGTGGCGGGAACGAGGGGGCTCTCCACCACAGGCTTAATCTGGAGACGTGGAATGTAGGATGGACACGCATGGTCCGCGGAAGCTTCAGGCGGACTGCAGCAGGGTTGACGATCTTTACAATCTCAAATGGGCCAGTGAACTTCTGGGCCAGTTTCTTGGAGTCATCGCGAAGGGGAAGGTCCTGGGTCGATAACAAGACCCTCTGGCCCACCCGGTAAGTGGGCGCAGTGGAGCGTCGGCGGTTAGCAGAGGCGGAGTATCTAGTCACCGACCGCTGGAGGTTGGCCCTGGCCTGGGCCCAGGTGCGCCGACATTGGCGGATGAAGGTCTGTACGGCTGGGCAGGAGACCTCCCTCTCCAGGGCTGGGAACAGGGGTGGTTGGTACCCATAGGCGCACTGGAATGGGGAGAGGCCGGTGGACGAGCTGACCAGTGTATTGTGGGCGTACTCCACCCACATTAGTTGTTTGGACCAGGTCGACGGGTGGCTGGAGACCATACACCGGAGAGACACCTCCATCTCCTGGTTCTTCCGCTCCGTCTGGCCATTGGACTGGGGGTGGAACCCCGAGGACAGGCTGGCCGTGGCCCCGATGAGGGTGCAGAACTCTTTCCAAAAGACCGAGGTGAACTGTGGTCCCCGGTCTGAGACCACGTCCACAGGGAGACCATGGAGTCTGAACACGTCGCGAAGGACCACCTCCGCAGTTTCTTTGGCCGACGGCAACTTGGGCAAGGAGATAAAATGCGCCATCTTGCTGAACCGATCCACCACCGTGAGGATGGCGGTGTGCCCTTGAGATGGTGGTAGGCCGGTTACAAAGTCCAGGGATACGTGGGACCAGGGGCGATGAGGGACGGGAAGCGGGTGCAGGAGTCCAGCCGGAGCCTGGTTGGAGGACTTGTTCCGGTTACAGACGGGGCAGGCTTTTACAAACTCCTGGACGTCTTGGTTCAGGGACTCCCACCAGAACCGGCGCCGGAGAAATTCTCTGGTTCGCTGGATCCCTGGATGGCAGGTGAGGTGGGTACTGTGGCCCCACTGGAGCACCTCAGACCGGAGTTGCCTCGGGACATAGAGTCGGTTGGGTGGGCAGGCGCTGGGACCCGGCTGCTCCTCCAGAGCTGCCTGGACCCTCTCCTCGACTCCCCAGGTGATGGCAGCCGCCAGGCGAGCCGGGGGAAGGATGGTGTCCGCCTCTGTAGTACCCTCCTCCTCCCCCTTCAGAAATAGGCGAGACAGGGCATCGGGCTTGATGTTGCGGCTACCTGGCCGATAGGAAAGGGTGAAATTGAAACGGGTGAGGAAGAGTGACCAGCGGGCCTGCCTGGAATTTAGTCTCCTGGCCGTCCTGATGTACTCCAGGTTCTTGTGGTCGGTCCACACCAGGAACGGCTGTTTGGCCCCCTCCAGCCAGTGCCGCCACTCCTCCAGAGCCACCTTCACTGCCAGGAGCTCTCGGTTGCCGATATCGTAATTTCTTTCTGCGGGGTTCAGACGGCGAGAGAAGAAGGCGCAGGGGTGGAGTTTCTGGTCGTCGGCGGCCCGCTGCGACAGGACGGCCCCTACGCCAATATCCGAGGCATCCACCTCCACTACAAATTGCCTTTCTGGGTCGGGCATGCGCAGGATGGGGGCGGAGGTGAAGCGGCTCTTCAGGGTCTGGAAGGCGGAGTCGGCCGCAGGTGACCATCGGAAAGGGACCTTGGGGGAGGTGAGAGCCGTGAGAGGGGCTGCCACCGTGCTGTACCCTCGGATGAAGCGGCGATAGAAGTTCGCGAACCCCAGGAACCGTTGTAGTTGTTTTCGAGATTCTGGCACCGGCCAGGCAGTGACAGAGGCTACTTTAGCCGGATCCATGCGGATGTCCCCCTGACCGATAATGTACCCAAGGAAGGACACGGAGGGGGCATGGAACTCGCACTTCTCGGCCTTGACGAAGAGCGAGTTTTGTAAGAGTCTTTGGAGGACCGCCTGGACGTGGTGGATGTGGTCCTCCATGGATCTGGAAAATACTAGGATGTCATCCAGGTATACAAAGACAAACTTGTCAAGCATGTCCCGTAGGACGTCGTTGACCATGGACTGGAAGACGGCTGGGGCGTTGGTGAGGCCAAAGGGCATGACCAGATACTCGTAGTGGCCGGTGGGTGTATTGAAAGCCGTCTTCCACTCGTCCCCTTCACGGATGCGGACCAGGTGATACGCGTTTCGAAGGTCCAGTTTGGTGAAAACAGTGGCCCCCTCCAGGAGTTCAAACGCTGAGGAGATGAGGGGGAGCGGGTATCGGTTCTTTACCGTGATGTCATTGAGGCCCCGATAGTCTATGCAGGGTCTCAACGTTTTGTCCTTCTTCTGGACAAAAAAGAACCCAGCCCCAGCCGGGGACGAGGAGGGACGGATGATGCCGGCGGACAGAGAGTCGTTGATGTAATCCTCCATTGCCTTTCTCTCTGGGGCCGAGATGGAGTAGAGGCGGCCCCGGGGAGGGCTAGTGCCAGGGAGGAGGTCAATGGCACAGTCATACGGCCGGTGCGGAGGCAGGGAGGTAGCCTTTGACTTGCTGAAGACCTCTTTGAAATCGTGGTACTCAGCCGGGACGCCCGCCAGGTCCGGGGCTGAAGTGGGGCAGGATGGGGGCTGGGGGACGAGGGCTTGTTTCAGGCAGACTTGATGACAGGCTGTGCTCCACCCCAGGATGGACCCTGTCGCCCAGTCGATGTGTGGGTTATGACGGCGAAGCCAGGGGAACCCCAGGAGGAGCGGGATCCGAGTTGAGTCCAGGATGTGGAAAGAAATTGACTCATGGTGGTTCCCGGAGAGCAGCATTTGGACAGGGACAGTCTGGTGGGTCACCATTCCGAGGGCGTGACCATCCAGGGCATTGGCGGGCACGGGCTGAGGCAGAGGCACTCTCTCAATCCCCAAATGCCGGGCTAACTCGCTGTTGATAATGGATACGTCGGCCCCTGAGTCAATGAACACCGCCAGGGTGTGGGAACCCCCTGGCACCAGCAGGCGGCAGCGGCAGATTGGTCTCTTGATGGGGGACAGTTTGGAAGGAGGGCTCACCGGTGCGTCCCCAATCACTGGTGAGCCTTGGCTTTTCCCGGGCACTTGGAGACAAAGTGTCCCTCTCCCCCACAGTACATGCACAGATTCAGTCTGCGCCGGCGCTGGCGCTCCATGGTAGACAGGGTGGTCCGGCTGAGTTGCATGGGTTCCGGGTCCTCCACCAGGGGTCCAGGTTGAAGGGATGAAGCCTGGTGTGGCGGACTGCTGCGGCGGGGTTGGAGGCGTCCAGCCCCTCCCTGCCGCCTCTCCTCCTGCCGGGCAAGGATGCGTCGGTCAACTCGCTGTGTTAGCTCTATGAGCTCATCCAGGGAGGTGGGTAGGTCGAAGGACACCAGCTCGTCCTTTACATAGTCCTCCAGGCCCCGCAGGTAGGCATCGCACTGAGCCTCGGTGTTCCACCTGCTCTGGCGGGCTCGGGTGCGAAAATCTATGGCGTAATCTGCCACCGCACGGTCTCCCTGGTGGAGGTTCAGGAGACCGCCGGCGGCATCTGGGCCTAGAGCTGGTGGGCCGAAAACCTTTCGGACCTCGGCGGCGAAGGACTGGAATGACCTGCAGGCGGGGGTCTGGCGTTCCCATTCCGCCGTTCCCCACAGACGGGCCCTCCCAGTGAGGTGATTAATGGTGAAGGCCACCCGGGCCTCCTCAGAGGCGAAGGTGTGGGGCTGCAGGGCGAAGAGGATGGAGCAGTTAGTCAGGAAGGGAGAGCAGCTCTCAGGGTCTCCGCCGTAGCGCTCTGGAGCTCCTATCCGGGGTTCGAAGGCGGGGCCGGGTGGAGTCGGCGGAGATACAGCTGCGGGAGGTGCAGCTGGAGGGCTCTGTGATTCCGTCTGGGAGATCCTTAGTGTGAGCTGCTGGATCTGGGCGACCAGGGCGGTTAACGTCTGCTCCTGAGTGGCGCTGGCCTGTTGGCTGGCGGCTGTCGCCTGGCGCACCTCAGCCAGGGTGGATGTGAGGATCGCCTCGTGCTGCACGAGGGCGCCCTCGACTCTCTCCAAGCGCTGCTGTGGTGAACCGGTGTGCGCTGGCTCCATCTTGTGGCCAGATTGTACTGACACGAGCGTGTGGCGGAGCCAAATGCAGCACAACGGCACGGAGTGTTCGGTTAACGCTTTATTTGAACACGGCCTCACAGCAGGCGTTCGGGCACAAAGAGATCGCTGGGCCGGTCGGGGATCCGGAGCACAAGGGCAGAAGCGCCGGGCAGTCCAAGGGGCAGGCAACAGAAACCCGAGGCGCTCAGGCAGGACTCGTGGTCGGGGACAGAAGGCTGACGTGCTCACCGGGGCGGAGACAGACGAACGGGTCGGGAACAGGCAGGGTCGAAACCGGGAGATCAGTCCGAGGTAGAGTGCTGGAGAGACTTGCATGACGCGAAGAACAATCTGGCAATGACAGGCTGGGTGTGCAGTGCTTATGTAGCGGGGCTGATTGTGAATGCGAAGCAGGTGTGGAAGGCAGGAGAGTGACTGATTGTGGATGCGGGGCAGGTGTGGACGATCGAGCAGGCAGGTGAGTGTGACAGTAATTACCTGATGGCCCGTTTCTCACATTCATGGACAGTAATTTTTGCCTTCAAACAAGCCCCGTAAAGAAAGAGAAGAATGATCAAATGAGGCATCGTGAAACAAAGCTTGATCACTTATATAATTGTTCAAAGGAGCTTGACGCTACGCATCCTGCTCTTTACTGTACATCCTATATTTCAGTGCTGCTTGGATCGTTTAACAGCACCAAAAGCTGAACGCAGAGACTGGTTAAGAAATCGATCCCCGAGGGTCGTATCAACACTGAATGAAGGAAAACATACTAATGCGTCCACAACCAAAAGGCCTGCAATAATTCAACAGCATCGATAGCAAATTTACATGGATGGTGATTTTGTCAAGCCAAATGAATAAATAAGTTAAACAGGACATTGTCAACATGATGTGTAATTCAAAAACGGTTCTCTTACTTCAAAGTTATGAATTATGCTTTCCAATAGTGGAATATTGAGGTAATTGCTCGCGACTCCTTCGACAGGTTTAGACCACTCGCAAATGGTATTTGTAAAATTCAAAATATTTGTTTGCTAATTTGATGGTGTACTTTGGGAGAAAGCTGAGCTGCTGATTGTGAGAGTAATTGAGGAGGTTTTGTTGAGTTGAGCTGGAACGTTGACACATCCAAGCCTCATTTACACCAAGTTTCACTTTTTATAAATACCAGAAGACAACAAGATGCTATACGCTATTTCTCCATAAATCCATCACCTTATTAGAACATTAAGCGATCACCAGAGCCCTAAGGTGTGTGTGTGTGTGTAAGATTATGTTGCGACGTCTCTATCCGGTTTCAAACAACAAACACAGAGACATCAAATGGGATGTTTGACCATCTCACATCTCCAGAGGAGCTTAGATTAATGAATATATTGGCGTGGCGTCTGGGATATTGAAATATGTGATACCATTATTTTTAGAAGGAGATGTTATTGTGTAAGAAATACAATTATTCAACCATTTTGCTGTCGTAAACACATAAAAACGGAGCACAAACATTACTTTACAAATTTACAAGAGATTTTAACAAGCCGGTTTTCATCTTCACACAAAAGGAGACCGTCATTAAAAAAAATATATTAATAACTTGTTTTTACAGTAATTAAGACAAGTTGATCTCTAGAGGGAAAGTGAACAAAAACATGTAAATTCAAATTACCCAGACGATTAAAATTCAGCAGATTCAACGAGAGCTCGCTCTCTGTATCTGACTCTGTATCTTGCAATCACTGCTTAAGTTACACAAGAGCAGTAACAGCCAACTGATGGGGGTGCTCAGAGAATGTCCAAAGTGATCCCCGATACACAACCATCGGAAACACTGCAGTGTCTCTGGGTTTTTTAAAGAAAGGGCCAGCGAGCCCCAGACAGCTGTTACGCTTTGAAAATCCAAACAAGTAAAAAAATAAGAGGCAGCAAATCAGGCCAGACATGGATTTGCTGAGACTGAATGGCTGCAAAGTTTAATGCTTTGGGCTCAGAAGATCAGAGCACCATAGCTGAGGGAAGCTTCATATTACCCTCTCCGTCCAGGGAGACAGCTCACTTTCATAAGGGGTTGATTCAGGCCTGTGCACCGTGACAAACGCTGCAGAAGACACTTCAGGAAGCAATCCTCACCGACTCGCACTCCCTCAGCTTCTTCTGAGCGGCGTCAAATTCAAAGTTCACATGGAGGGACTCCACAACTTCTGTGATCGGGTCCTTGTCTGTGCACGACTCCGGCGGGAGAGAGAGAGAGAGAGAGAGAGAGAGAGAGAGAGAGAGAGAGAGAGAGAGAGAAAGAGAGAGAAACCCTCATTCAAAAGTTGACTGAACCCTCAAGCTACTTTGGATGAAAATACTCAAACAGGATGATTCTGCGACTTTACCTGTTCAGTGACTTTCACCAAGTCCTGGAGCACTTGTCACGTTTCCGCAGGCCTTCGCAACAAAGAACGGGCAAAAAAGCAGTACACAGAAGACATTAGCAAACGTGGTCTTTACAAGACACCTGGGTAGCATGAGGAATAACTTGTACACTTTTGAAACTGGAACATAGAGTAGTTTTTAAAAAGACGAGACCAAGCCATGGAGTCTCTCAACTGTACGTTCTTGAGCGATGGTTCTTTGCTGTAGGTTGAAACTCCTTGAGGCTGATAGAGGAAGCGCTCGATGATGTTGTCCTTGGCTTGAGGGTGGTTGAAGAACACAAAGAGGATCCAGCGGATGAGCCTCGTTCTCTGTTGGAGTGAACGGACTGAAAGTAAACAGGGGTCACAAGGTGCCGAAGTACAAGGTTCGTGTAGGAGCTGCTGAGGTTTGGGACCTATAAATAGCAGTACACTCAAAAAAATGTCACGGTAAATTAACGGTATTTTACTGGCAGCAGGAAGTTACCGTTATTTTACGGCATAATACCGTAAATGTTTTGTTACACTATGTTGCCGTAAAATGGATTACTGTATGTTACCGTAAACTTGAACGAATTTTACTGTGAATTAACTGAAATTTACTGGCAGTCAACGCTAGTAACTTAGTTTTATTTACCGGGCCCTACCGTAATTTACGGTATGTTGTCGTATATTGGATTACACTTTGTTACCATACGATTACTGTTTTTGTGTTATAAATACCAGAATGTTACCGTTTACTTATAACCGTATACTTCCTTCGTAGATGTGTTCTGGATGAACTGAGATTACGCGTCTGACGTCACGTTCAGGAGCAGTCGGTCACGATTAACACTCGTGACTTTTAGGCAATGGATACTTTGAATAATACAAATATTTATAATCTTTACATTCCGGCCCCTGAAATGACAGTGAAGGCAGCGCACGGGATAGGGAGGGTGTGCTGTGCAGCATAAGGTTGGCAGTTCGAATCCCGGCTGCTCCCTATGCGAAGTCGAAGTGTCACTGAGCAAGACACCTAACCCCAAGTACTCCACATAAAATTATGTGAAACCATGGGCGTTTTGGATAAAAGTGACAGCTACATGTATAGTAATGTCCTGTAAGTCAAAGTCATCCTCGTATCTCATGAGATACTATCTCATTATGATGACTTACAGGACCTGTTTTTCAGTGGCTGACGTGGGCTTCCATACATTAACCTACAACAGATTTAGATGGATTGTGATTCACTGCATGTATGTGTATTTCCACCACTTCATAAAATATATGTAACATGCAGTTGAATTACGGTGTCATGGGGTGATGGCCAGAACGAGGGTTGAACTCAAAAGCAGGATTCAGAGGATGAAAAAAGATTTTATTTTGGCAGCAGAGGGACTTAAATAGTTTGTTCGGGATCCGTGGCCGGGGAAGATGCTGGAGAGGCAGAGAGGCACAGGGGTCCAGGCGGCAGGAGCGCTGCAGTCGATAGAATCCACGCTGGAGGGAGAGGTAATGATCCGGCTGGCTGGAGGGGTTCTCCCAAGCCGCGGAGGGCGAGAGGGGAAGCCGGGGAATCCGTCAGGTTCCGGGGAAGCAGGCTGGGATGGGACTGAAACACGAAAAGAAGAACAAAAAAAACCTCTTTCTTTTGAAAAATCTATCTCGGGTGCGAGCTGGCCAAGTTCACTAGGAAGGCAAAACGATCTGGCGAAGACTGGTGCTCCTGCTGTTCCTTAAGAGGGGTTCCTGACGATCGTAAATGCAGGACAGGTGTGACAGCAGGCAGCCACCAGACTCCGCCCAGGTAACCAGGGAAACCTGCTCTCCCAGCCTGAAACCACACCTCCAAAGCCAAGTCAGATCATGAGTCTGCCATTATTGTAAATTGACAGCTTTAACTGTTTATTCATGACATTGGTCGTTAATGTACAAGCAAGGGATGGAAATTTAACTGTATGTTACAGTTATTATGACATACTGTAAGATACCGTTAGAAATGCACCGTAAATTTACAGCAACTTGTTACAGTGTGGGTGTTGGAAGATTCTGAGACTGAGGCCACAGTCCAGCTGGCTTTGAGCGGCAGCTGGTTTTCATGGAAATAAAAACCAAATGGGCAACCCACCTTGAAATATCCAAAATGTGTGTGGCTACAACGTTTAACATTTCAACATTTACATCGTGTTTCTCTGAAAGGTAGTGAAAGAGCATCTGTCCATCTCTGATGAATTTCAGAGGAGCCATTAACAATCAAATGCAGATGCTTTCACACATATCGTCACACTGTGATGTAATATGACGAGTGAGAATATCATCTCGGAGATGCGACTCTGCCAAGTCGATCAGACCTTGTGCACTGCGTCTGTTCAGTCGTCTCTGGGTCTTCTTGACGATTGGCTCCGTCTGCGTGACGAGACCAACCACAACCTAGATTACCTATTAAACGATGGCTCTTACGGGATAGGATTTCATTATCTATTTCATTAGCTACAAATAATTGTACTCATCCATTGCAAAATCCACCATGTTGGTCTCGCTGAGGAGGCCCAGCTGTCCCCGAAGAAGTTCCTTTTGATTGCAGATCTGTTACAGACAGAAACATTCATTCATTTTGGAGGCAGAAACATATGAGCAACAAAAACAAGAGAAATGACCTCAGGACCCCACAACACATCACGTTCAGCCGGTTGTAGCCAACGTTGATTAACTAAACTAACGTTACGGGCTAACACGCTGGGTGGTGTCATTAAGAGGTGTAATAGTATCAGTTTTGGCCGCTACTATAACTTTATTTATATATGTTACATCTGTAGTGTGAGGTGTGAGACTGCTGGCTAGCTAACGTTAGCCGGTTGAGGCTGAGTCTGCCCGTTACAAACATGTGTTTACGGATAAGTACGAGGTCATAAACAAGACACGTTATAGTTTAGCGTTGTGCGACGCACAGGCGGCTGAACCTCTTTCACGGAGAGGAATTGGAGGATAAAATAATTGGTCTGCTTTCCTTTTTTTATACGAATCTAATAGCGTATCTAAACGGTTGTTATCAGAGTGATATAATAAATCAAAAATTGTTTCACATGTGACATATTAGCTTCTGGTAGGTGGGGAGACAGGTAGCCTCTTCATAGCCTAATGCTCTCACTTCTGGCAATTGCATATTAAGCTTCACAAATCATAAAAGTGGTCTTTGTGAGGATTATCTGAACAAAATGTATCATAATCACTTGTTTTCCACAGAGCTTATTTCCCGCACTAATCCAAAATCCAATGAGAAAATCCCATTGGATTGTCATGGATGAACAGGTGCGAATGTGAGCTGCATGACCCACAAAATGCGCCATTGCTGCATCACTGTATTAGTTCAGATTTACTGCCAATTATTGTCCCCTGTACCTAGTTCGGGAGCTCAAGAAACAAATTTCACAGAGCAATTCTGTCTTGGCACTAAAGCACAACACAAATAAGTACAATTAAATAGATTTAGAGAAACATCAACAAATTAGAGGCTGAATTGTTGTTACTTAATTTTACAAGTAATTGAACTCTCAAGACTACTTTCGGTCAAACATGTCCAGAGGGAGAAGTTGGACTCTGTGTTTGCTGAGGTAGACCACGTGCCGTCTGACCATGGACCGGTCACACATGCAGCAGCTGACTCCCCAGCAGGGATTACGATCAGGGATGTGGGACACTAATCAGGCAGTGAGGACAAAAAAGCAATCTCAACCCACAGGGATGTTTTCAGCTCCATGCAGCTCTGACCACAGAGCCAATAGAAAGATCCATTCTGTTTAAGAAGGCTGCCTTGGTTTGCTGAGTCAAATTTATTATTGGGGGGAGTGATCAAACACCTCGAAACTACTGCGGCTGCCAGAAAGTCGATGGCGGGTAAAAGATGGTTGTGGTTCAAGAAAAAAAATCGAACTAGCCGATAGCTGGAAAAAACAACAACAATAGAAAGCAAAATCCAGTCCGGCCCGGATCGGTGAGGGTGCAGCAGTGAAACAGCGACATTGTAATCCCTTATACATCAAAGCTTGGCTAAGGACAAATGTGATCTAATCTCATCGCATCAAAAACTGCAATGAAAGATGTGAGTTACCAGAGATGTTACAAGTCTCCTCTGCCATGGAGCAGTGTGAGCATGTTCTTCACCTCAAAATGTGCCAAATTGGTGGAGAGCAATATCAGCTTAGTTCCCACACAGGCACATAAGAAACAAAATGACACCCATTTTCTCGCTCACACAGGATGATGCCGCTTGCTGGCCGGCAGTGCGAGAGACATAACGTCTCGGTGTGTCTGTGTGGACGCATTTAAGAGTTAAGTAGAGGCAGAAGCTTAGAAAATGGATAAAAACTGCTATGTCATCATTTTGCACTTTTTGAAAAGCTACACAGGCAACGAATCCTGACTCAAATTCGCCTTGAAAGAGCTGCTCCCGCCTAACTGTAACACAAAGAAAACCTTGATTTGAGAAAATGTAATGTCGTTCCTCGTGGGCGGACATCGTCCCTTGCCCTGCCCCCCCCCCCCCCACTCTCTCTTCTCGTCCATCCTCGAGGGCCAGGAAATATTCTGGACTCAATCTCAGGCGACTGGCTGCATGCCTTCCTCTTCAACTCACAAGAGCAAGAGCCAGCTGGACGTGAGGCGCACCGCACAAGAAGCCAACGATTCAATAAAGACAGAGGAGCAGGAGGCAAAAACAAAAGTGATTAATTACAGACAAATAGAAGCATTACATACAAAACAGAAAATTAATTTAATTTTTCCTCCCATGGATGGTAATTCAGATTGAGTGCCTTCTTGTTGGATTGCTTTGTTTACTACCATGTGGTACACGGCTCTGCGAGGATCACAAGTGTCGAAGGGAATGAGTTTCCACGCTCTGATGGTTTAAGCAATGGTAATATAACTGCAGGAACAACAACCTGTCCCGAGGGAGAGACTCCTACCCCTCCCTGGGCATCAACCCCCAACACATTTTCCCTGTAGTCTGCTGGGGGAAGTTTGCCTCTGTGGGCTCATCAGCAGAGGCGAGACACTTTCTCGACAGGTCCCACCCTGTGACTGAAAGTGACACTGATGCCCACCATTGTTCGATTGCTGTCATTGAAGTCCCTTGTTTGAATCTAATACAAATATCAAATACACTGTAAAATATGCAGTGTAGGTTTGCTGTGGAAAAAAAGCTGAATAAAGAGAGTTCAGCTGCATGGGACAAAACGTGCAGATCCAAAAACAATATCCTACACACGATTAGAGTCCACTAGATAAAAGATTTCTTTAAGCAGCCGGCGGGCTGCGGCTGACTGACATCTGATTCATAACGTGCGCTCGAGACCGAGCTCTGAAGCCTTGCAGAGCTTCCGTCTGCTGTGCTGCAACGCACAGGACTGAGTGTGATGGAGGCACACATGGCCATGCAATTTTATCGTCATGAATACAAATGTAATTTATACCAAATTCTCCCCGTCGGCGTTTTCCCTCCAAATCATTCGCTTCTGCTCTAAGAGACGTGATTAGCTTTATTTAGTTACTGAGATTTTTTCGAGCGTTGGATTGAATTGTGTACATATTTTATGGCTTTTGATATTAGATTCCTGCAGTCCAAATTCAGGTGTGTTAAAGTCAAAGTTGAACCTGAACATGAACCTAAAGTATAAAAAGCAAAAAGTATTGGCAATGAAATATATTTAAAATACCAAAGGTAAATATACTAGATAACCTGCCAATAAAACCCTTCTCAAAAAACAATTTTCCTCCTCTCAAAACTAAAAGCTTTGACTCCCTTTGTGTTGATGTTTTCTTTTTCTTTATTCTTGCAGAGTTCCCAATAGCTCAGAGGCTGTGAAAGGCTGCCCATCTTCTATAAAGATGGACTGTTTGTTATTTGGACACACATACAATCATACTGTACTGCTGATGTAGTGAATGTGGACCACTGTCTGATAAACATCACATGTATATAATACATGTGGAAAGCATCACACCCGACAGGTGGTACATTCTTTATCAACAGCAAAGCACAGTCGACGGGAAATCCACACTGAGGATACAGTCTGTGGTGTGAAAGGGAAAGAAATGTGAAAGAAAGACAAATACAAGTTTGTCACAGCTAGAGATTTATGCAAAACAGGGACATTTCAAATGAATTGAATGTTTTATGTAGATGGCTCAATAAGATATGCACATTTCCATACAGACATGTATTGGTGGTTGTGTGTACGTGCTGCTGGAATAACACAAGGTTGAAAGAAAAAAAAAGCAGTCGGTGTAATATATCCATTTTGGCTTTCAAAGAATTAATAGAGATAACATCCTTTTCTTAACAAGCTTTGACAAAGAAGGGCTGACTTCAGCACATGGAAGCTCGCGTTAAAAAAGAAGCCCATAAAAAGGGAATTAAACATCTGGAAAGAGGAGACAGTGGCTAAATGAAATGAACTAAGCTCCTTGAGTTGACTGCACACACTCACAGTGAAGGGAGGGACTGGAGTTCAGGCACTTTGTCATCTGTAGCAATTTATCTGTAAGGTTAAGTGTTTCTGTAGTGGGAAAACCAGTGCTTGGTGCTTTGATCCCAAACACTCAACCAACCGGATGACTTTACCCATTAGACGCGCCCACACACACTACTCCAGACTATTACAATATGTGCTCTTTAAATGAAGAAAATGGAGAGGGTAGGGTGTAAAATAAGGGTTTTTCTATACATATCCACAGCTAAATGCTCAAATCGCTAATAAGAATCTGTAGAAGAGGCTGTGACTGCAGTCCAGTTGCCAGAAAACACAATGGCTTTGTCAACCTTGTAGCAGTCTTGCAGAAACACACGGTTCACCTTCTCAAACCCAACAAAACAAAAGGTTAAAGAGCATGACTTGTGCAAACGTAAAAATATAACATAACAATGTAACTTCAAAATATAACTTAACAACCTAACATAGTAACGTAACACAGTAACGTAACACAGTAACGTAACACAGTAACGTAACACAGTAACGTAACACAGTAACGTGACATAGTAACGTGACACAGTAACGTAACATGACACAGTAACGTAACACAGTAACGTAACACAGTAACGTAACACAGTAACGTGACATAGTAACGTAAAATAGTAACGTGACACAGTAACGTAACACAGTAACGTAACACAGTAACGTAACATGGTAACGTGACATAGTAACGTGACATAGTAACGTGACATAGTAACGTGACACAGTAACGTAACACAGTAACGTGACATAGTAACGTGACATAGTAACGTGACACAGTAACGTAACATGACACAGTAACGTAACATGACACAGTAACGTAACATGACACAGTAACGTAACACAGTAACGTAACACAGTAACGTAACACAGTAACGTGACATAGTAACGTGAAATAGTAACGTGACACAGTAACGTAACACAGTAACGTAACACAGTAACGTAACACAGTAACGTAACATGGTAACGTGACATAGTAACGTGACATAGTAACGTGACATAGTAACGTGAAATAGTAACGTAACATGGTAACGTAACATAGTAACGTGACATAGTAACGTAACATTGCAACATAATAATACACCATAATAATGTAACACAAGACGTAATGTAACAGAACAGCGTAACAATATAATGTTACAACATAATGTAACAACATAAGTATGTAGATTAGCAATGTGACGTATATAACAATGTAATGTCACGTTGTAACGTCAAATCAGAGCGAGACAATGTAGCGAGACAACGTAACAACATAACCCAATAACGCAAGGTAACAACGCAATGTAACAAAGTAGTGGAACAACGGAATCTGAAACATGTAACAACAAAACTAGCATCAATAAAAGTTTTCTGGGTTTGGAGACACTTAAATATCAAGATATGTTACCTTTCAAGCAGCATGAGATTTTAAAATCTCTGCCAGTAAAGTTGCAGCAAGATTGCAATATGCACTTGTGTTTTGTTAAATTGAGGCACAAGAGCTTAATGAAGGTGTGGATACTGCTAATGAATTTGGGCCGAAGTCTCTTAAAAGATAATGGCTAACTCATTGAATTAAGAGTCCTCACTTTCTCTGTGCTGCAAGCCTTTCACCCAGATTTCCCTAAGTCTCACAACGCCTCTGAGATCTTGTTTTCGGTTATCTTCCAATATTTAAAAAATGTAAAGCACAAACTGTTTGAGAACAATTATTTACAGGCGTGTGTCTGTACGAGTTAGTATCCCTGTAGCCTTTGATTTTATGTGTTTCATGAAAGCATTTTTCTCTGACTCTCATTACATGTGTAACTTTTAGAGGGCAGAGTGACTGTGTCAGGGACTTGGATAACAAAAAACATAGCTTGTTTTCATGAATAGTAACTCTAGCTAAAAGCTAATTATCCTCATAAATTTGACAGGAACCTTCACGGAGAATAGCTAATACGTGCAGAGGAGAAATTAATCTGGGATAAAATAAAATA